AGATGTGATCCAATACCTTGGCGTACGAACGTAATGCACAGAAATCAAGTAAAATGGTCACGCATTTACTTGCATACAAAGGAAACGAAAAAAAAATATTAATGCACAGAAAAAAAAAGAACGCAAAAGAACAGAATACAGTAAGAATGAATCTAATTTTAGGCCAACTTTGCTCCTTCGCTTACAATAAAAGTACTAGATCGATTTATTTTATGCATTCATTAGTTTTGCTGCTAGGAATAATTAGTGAAGAACAGAATAAAAGAAAGAACATGCACTTCTTATATCGAACCAATTATCGCAAAGAAAATAAGGCGATTATTTGATTTTGCGAAGGTCACTAACTTGAAAAAAAAAGCGATGATATATCTTTACAAATCTATTTATCATTTAAAAAACAAATTACTAAAATATTTCGATATGAATACACCGATTGATCAAATCTCTATTTATACTATATTGGCAATCTTTACAAAAAATTAGTTTTTGCATCAAGGATTAGAATTAGAAAAAAAAACGCAACGATAATTATATCACTTCATCACATATCATGATATATAATCTCTTAACAAATTTCATTGATATATATATAACAAACAAATGATAAATAGGTTTTTTTCTTTTCTTTTTGAAAGGTCATAGAAGCTTAACTAATCAAAGGATATAGCAGCTGCTTTATATCTCAATGTACATGATCTAGAAGAACTGACGTCATTTCTGATAAATAAGATAACTTCTTAAACGTTACAAAAATATTCATTGTATGATTTCGAATATTATTCAAATTTTCAAAAAATGAAAATTCTCAGATTCTTCTCTGCTTATATGAATCATTTCTGGCAAAATGGAACATATCCATCCTTCAATTAACCTTGATATAGTACAAAGATTAATTTGCTGAATAAATTTTTTTAACATACATATATGTAAAAATATTAGCTCTTTCAGCTGACTATTAATAAAAAAAGTAACTAGCAAATATCTATCTAACTATAGAAGAAAAAGAAATTTGAAAACTTTAAGATAGACTCTACGGTACAAATCGCATATATGGTAGAATGTTCAACAAGATCGAACTCAAAAAATCTTCCCCTTAAAAACCGGTTTTCTAGATATCCTATCAAGTTCAAAAACAAAATTTTTCTCTTTATTATCATCTGGAGATTCTGAAGAAGGATTTGTACCGTTTGGAATTGGTTTTGAATTTCTCATTCGATTATAAGAGGATTTCTTTGTTTGTAGATTTGCCGACAGTCATGTGGATAACGAAAAGTAAATCGATTTTTTTGAAAAATCTAGGTATAGTCAGAAAAAACTTTGGATAGAGATTTTGTCACCTTAGAAGTTCTCTACAAAATATACTATTGGGTTATCAAAAGTGATGTTTCAATTCGAAATTTTTTTTAAACTAAAATACATGAAGTGAAAATCAATATCGTTTTTTTTGTGTCATATCCTTAACGCTGGTTTTTTACTGGTAACTCTTTTGAACAATGGTTTCTAGTGCTGATTTTTTCAGGATATCAAGAGCAATTTAGAATATAATATACTTGAAAATTTATGTATTAATAAACTTTCTACAATAAATGTTTTGTTTCCACTTTGTTTTTCTTAATACATTTATTACAAAGAAATAAAATGAATTATACTTTGAAGATAGTGCGTTAGCCGAAAATTTTCTCATAAAATGTTTATTTACTTGTGGTTCTTTGAGTGTTATCGATGAGTCAAATACTATCAGCTTAGACATTTTGTTTCAATTTTTGCTCAGAATTATTGAAATAATTTTTGAAAGATTCAAAAAAAATACTTTGTATGGAAAATTTTTCTACGCATTAATTTTTACTAGTTTCACTATTGCAACTCGAAAGTAAAAGTTTGAACTTTTATTAATATATCAGCTTATAGAGCAGAAACTACTCGACGAAATGTACTCTTTATGTTTCATTTTTGTTTTTCGACATAGCATTTCAATTTTCATTTTTTTTAAACTCTCATTTTTTTTAAAAATCGACGTTCGATATAGAAAGAGGCTTTTGATCAAATGACTAGGACTTAGAGTTCAATAAAATATTTTGTAAAGAATCATCTATTCGACAAAACGATTAACTTCGATAATTTTTAATATCTTCGAAATGTGACTTATAGGGGTTAGCATAAGCCTGCTAGTTTACCATTCACATAGAGACAAGCCTCAATAAAAGTAGTTTTTATGAATCTTTCAGATCTTGTCGCTGTTCCTATCGTAAGATACGACGATGATAATAGCGTGTCTTTTACATCATTCATATAAATCGACAAATTTGATGTTCTTCTATCAGGATAGAAGAAAAACAAAAGACCTCAAAAAATCAAGTTTTCTGTTATCACGACATTCATTTAAAAAATACACTAAAAATGCATTATCTTCGCAGTGATCAACTAAAGATATGAACTCTTTTCAGACTATTCACAGCTCATTTGAATCTACATAGTGTACATAACCTCAACTCAAAAGCAAATTGGAAACTTTCCTCATAAGCTCACGCTCAGTAATTGCACTAAATTCTTGTCCTAATCTATAGCTCTTAGCTCGTTGAAAATACTCTCAAGAAAATAAAAAATAAATAAAGATGTAATCTTAAAACTTTCCGTTTACCCTTTATTTAATAATGCTCATGAGAAATAATTCAAAATTTATTAATCATTTTCATTATAGGCTGCAAATTATTTATTATTTGGAAAAATGATTATGAACAATTTCATGTGTTAAAGATAAATCGAGTTTTTATTTCATATGATTGTATTATTTATCTATGCACTTCATCGCGATCGTTATCATTTTTTTCAATAAGAAAAAAGAAATGGTTTCTATCAATTCCCATTTGATTTATTGCAGTAGTGACATATCATATTCTGTTAGTCTATGTAGTTATATTGACATGAATCATAAAATCATTTATTTTAAATAAAGACCTTTCTTTCATGATTTTCAAAAAAAAAGTGCGATTTTTTTGTTTTTTCATATTTTATATGAATAATTCATTCAATTTAATCTTTGTATTAGCTATCATATTGAATACCTTTTATTTAGATATAAAATCACTGGGGTTTTTTTTTCGATAATGAAATATCTACAATATTAAATCCCTTCTAATATTACTTTCTTGAGAAATTACGTTGAAATGGAATTTTCCCAGAATAATATATATTAATTAAGAGATATTCCTAGCTATACTTATAGATATGAGAGATTTGCTGCCTTTGAAAAAATGGAGAACGCTATTTAAATGAATAGCATCATTGTAATACACTGTGATGCGCATTAATCAACGAAGACTAATCGGATAGATACTTTGGATATAAATATAAAAAAAGATCCTTGTAACCTCGAAGAAACATGCAACAATTGCAATATGTTGTCTGCTGAATAAATAACTCCAATATATTATATTTTTTCTCCAGTGAGTATCTTTGAGCTCTCATAGGTTCAAAAGGTTATTGAAATTTAATTGATACATTCAGCTGAAAATCAATGTTTGATTCAATATGTAAACAGTATATCAACATAATGAATTAATATTAGAACATAGGATAAAATTTCATTGATTTGGATACGAATAAAATTCTTCTAAATAATCCTATGAAAAACAAATTGAAAAAATTATTGCTTATTAATAATCCAATAGAATTCTTTGATTCGATGAATAATTTCAAAGAAGAACAAAACTGATTTCTATGCTAGAAATCATTTTAACATCTTAGAGATATGAATCATGACTGGAAATGGTTCAAAATCATCAGAAACCATTAGAAATCAATGGAAGTTACTCTAAATCATAGAAAACTTGCAGTAATAAAATTAAAAATAAAGACTTAATTTCTATTGTTTTTGTTTCATTTCTTAGAGAAATCAGTCTGTTCTTCCGTGAATAATATGCAAGTCGTTAGCAATGAACTTCAATAATAATTATAATGAAAACTCAACATAAAGTATCATATCTTAAATCATTAATCTAATTCAATCAGTAATTTATTTAATTTTATTCATTTTTTTTTTCATCATGAAAAGATGTTATTAAGACATTGTAAGAATTATGTTATGCTTATTAGTATTTCATTTCCTCAATTCAATAACATCCTTCTTCATAGAAAATAGGATCGTACAATCGAAACAAAAGTGATTAATTCAATAATAATAAACAACTTTTTTTCATTGTGAAGGTAAAAATATTAAATTCTCATTCGTCTAAACTGAAATTTACAATTTCTCATTTTTTTTTAAAACTCTTTTTCTCAATATTCAATTATTGTTCTCTTATATTTTATATATATTTTAAAAAGAGAAATACTGTAACTACTGCTCTTAAACTTCCACTGTTTACTGTTATTCCACCATAAAAAGAAACAAAGTGCAAAAACAAAAAAGAAAATGAAATGAAAAAAAAAACAAATATATAGAGATGAACATGCACAGGCACGATGTGATATACATACACATATAAACATACAAGCAAAAATTCAGCATTTATGTTCTTTAATTCAATAACAAATAAAAACAAACAAATAAAATAAGATATTATGTTAAACGAGATGTATGAAGATATGCCTTACTATGCATATAAGAAGTGAAAAAGAAATTGTTTTGGAAAATGATTGTGATTCTAACTTCACTTTAAATATTAAATTTATTTCTTTTCACTTATTCATACATTTCTTTATTTTGTCAACATAATTCTTTTCTTATAAGCTAATCATCAGCAATTATATTTAAACAAAGAAAAAATAAAATAAAATAAAGAACAACATATAGCTCAATTTCCTAGATTAATTTTTTTGTCGTCGTTTTCTTTCTTTTTTTTTTCTTATATGGATTTCATTAATCACAGATGCGCACCGTCAGAAAAAAGAACTTAGTATTTGTTCAAATATATGAATAAACGAGAAAAAAAACAGAATCATATGGTAAAGCTTTCACTTGTTTTCGTTCGATCATGTCCATATATACAGAATGCAATTTTTTAACTCTGCCATTTAATATGTCCATAAGCTTGAAGTCCAGATAATGTTAGATATCCAATCCAAAGAAGAATAAAAAAGATTGAACATAAATATTTCGGTATTGTTGGTCCACCTAAAGAAAAATATCTTCAATATCAAATAAATAATACATGAAAATTTCTAACCAAGTTCTGCTTTGCCAAATACACTTAAATATCGACGAAGAATAAGTACAGTCATAGAAATTACACAACAAACAGAAAACACTAATACACTAAATGATAGATCGCCAGCTTTGACCGTAAATGGAAGATTCTAAAATATTAAAAAAAGAAATTAATTAGGAAATTAATTTACATATATTTCTCCAGAGACGAATGCATCTTTCTTTTTTAATCAACATATATGTAAATGTAAATCTCGTACCTTTGACTCCCAATAGGTAGCAGCAATAAGCCATGGAAGTCCCAGACCTAGAAATACATTAACACCGTTTGATCCAGTTACATTACCAATCGCATCATCAGCTGTTTTGGAATTTTTTGCAGCAATCATCGATGCAAATGTATCAGGTAATGATGTTCCAAGTGCAACGAATGATATAGCTGTTATACTATCTTTTAATCCAACTAGACAACCAAATACAGCAGCTACATCACCAACAATAGCTGTTAGTATAGCAATGAACAGAAGTGAAACGAAAAATGTTAACCAACCACTAGCTATTGCTGTGGGTGGTACAAATGCGAAAAGCACCTATTTAAAAACAAACAAAAGAAAAAAAATGTAAATAATAAATTTTTCTTTTTCTTTTTTTGTTTTATTGGAAAATTACCTTCCAAAAAAATGCAAGTGCATGACCAATATAATGACCAGCTTTAGCTGTTTCTAAATCACCTCCATTGACGTTCATAGAATCACGGAATTGTTGACCCCATGATGTTTTTGTTACACTTAATTTATCGATATCAATTTGAACAAGTGATGCCATTCGATTTGCCATTGTTTTATAATCTAAATGAAAAAAGTTTTTTTTGTTTAAAGTTATCATTATCATTCAAATAATAAATTTAAGATTCAAAAAAAAAACAAAAACAAATTACCATCATCATTAATAATTGTAACAACAGTTCTTGAATGTTTGCCTAATTGTGCACCACCAGTTGTATCATATAATTCAACAGCAAAACTTTCATCTTTTTCTGCTTCAAGATCATCTATAATTGGTATAGCAATTATTTTTGATATTTCACCATGTTCAAATATAATTTCACTTTGAGAAGCTATAAAACAAAATATTCAATAACATAAATCATCTATAATAACATGTTGGTTGAAGGGAACGGTTCAGTTCCGAAGAAAAAAAAACGTGAATTGATCCCATCAAAATCTGATACTGATTCAAAAAAAATACGAACCGATCCTATCTGTACAGTACCCCTATCTTATATATAGACATTAAATTTAATTAAAATTTCACTAATAATTCAATAAATTAGTGAGGAATAATTTTAATGTATAATATTGATTACTTACATTCATAATCTCTTGATGCAACAGCATCAATATCTTTTGTTCGGTAATGTACACTGACACGTCCATCGGCACCATTAACACGTACGACTTTGATTTCTACTTTACCAACACTTTCTTTAACTAATGTAATTGATTCTTCAAATTCAATAAAACCCGGTTCTATCAAAAGAAAGATAAATATATAATTCTTCTATTGTATTTTTTTTAATCTATTGACATTATTTACCATCATCATTAATAATTGTCACGAGTGCAATTGTTTTTGAACCTAATTTTGCACGAGATTCTTCACCTTCAGGTAATGATAATTTAACAAAAAATGTTTCATCTGGTTCCCATTGATTATCATCAATAACATGTATTGTAATGCGTTTTTCTTGTTGGCCACGTTCCATTTTAAATTCTTCTGATAATTTAACATAATCTTCACCAGCTGTTGCCGTACCATCGATTGTATCAAGTCTATAAATAAATTGTTTGAATAGAAAATTTATCAACAAAACATTCTCTATTCATGCGATGTAAAACAGATTTTTTTTTTTGTAATATAAAGCATGCAAGAAGGGAGCTTAAAGTAAGCATAGATAAAGCAATAAAAGCATATCATGCAAAATATTTTTAATTTTTAAACTTATTCAAATAATATTAAATTTTAAAATCAATATTCAACAAAAAAAAAAGATCAAATAGTTTGGTGTTTGAACATATATAGTGAAGTAGGAAAATAGCAGGTGTTCTATTTAGTGAAAACAATAAGTATACGAAAAAAAAATATAAGTAAAACAAAAAAGGACAAGTTTGTGGGATATGATCGGGACCTACCGAAAATGAATAACGGAATTCGTAAAACCGTATCTGACAACTTCAATAGTTACACGCTGTTCACGTTCAAGTACAGCATAACTGGATGAAGCAAACTCAAGTATAGCCATACGTGGATCATCATTTATCTCTATCTTTGATAATGTTGGCTTTCGACCACCAAATGGATGGTCAGCCGAAAAACATCCATCAAATGGCAATGGTTTGATGGCTCGTTCGTAAATCTAAATGAATCAGGGTAATTTTCTATTTTATCCTCAAACATAAAAAGAAACAAATCATAATAGATTATAATTTATATATATATTGCAAAAGATTAGCAATTAGAAGAATTAATATAGATTTATGTATTAATATAATTTGTTAGTTAGCATTGCGTTATATATATATTAGAGCAGACGCATGCATGGATGATTAAACAAGCGATTAAAAAAGATAGACACCTGAATCGAACATCGACATCAATCGGACCCCTTCGTTTGATTTTAAGAACAACTCTTTGTTCACATTCAAGTACAGCGTATGCTGTTGTTGAAAATTCAATTAATGGTATTGGTAAATCAGAATCAATATTATTATTATTATTATTATCCTCTTCTTCAATCGTTCTTGCTATCAATGATGTTCGATGGCCAACCAATGAATCACGTTTATTTACTTCAGTATAAATCTGTTTAGATATTTATATGTAATAAAAAAAAATATATCGCATTTCATTCAATTAAATTAAAAATAAAAAGAATTTCTTTTTTTGCTCTTAATTAACATTTTTACAAACCTCTTGAAGTTTGTCAGGCAAATTAACAAATAAAGATTTGCCACCAGTAAGCATTCGAGAGCCTTGAATTCGATATTGCATACGTGATCGATGCATACTTTCACTTAATTTAGCTGCAAATAATTGTGCTTTATCTTCTAATGATAAATTTGTTGTTTGACCAAGATCCTATATATTGAACAATATGAAATAAAATTCTAATCGATTTTTTTTTTCTACGATTAATTAAAACATACACGTAAAAATTGAAGAAGTTCATCTTTACGAAAACTACGTGGACTGCCAGTTCCATCATGGTCTGGTGGTGCTAAAAGCAATGAAAAAAAACAACATACAGAATATCTATCACGCACACGATCAATCCTCTCAAAATATTGACAGAAAAAAAAAAACGTCACGACTTACTCAATATAAGTGTTTGTTCCTCTTCTTCCATATCAATTTTCTTTGAAGCATAGAAATTTTTCTCAGCCTAATAAAATATCGACAAGCATTTCATTTTTTTATTTAAGATGTTCATCTTACTAGAAAAGCTATGATGACAACCAATGGAAACATAAGAAATGTAATGACAGCTTCCCAAAGATCAACAACATCTTTTGATATAACCGATAAGACAATGAACATCCATATGTAAGCAAAAAATCCAAAGAATGATGTAACCTATATTAATATTCAGTTCTATTTCAAAATCTTTTCAAAAATAAATTACCATAAAAACACTATACAATTTTATTCTTCTGGCATCAGGAGCCTTAATTGCCGAAATACATAATGCACAGATCATTAATAAATTATAAGCGGCTGAACCAACAACTAAAATAATAAATTATTATCTAATCAAAGATTTCTGATCTTTATTTTTTTTCCAGATGACTTTTTCAAAATTCATATGAATAGTTTCCCTAGGAAAACATGTGTTTTGAAGAAGATAATCAAAGAGCAAATTAAAATATCATGACATTATTATGTATTAATCCATGCCAAGAAAAATATAAATATATTTTTTGACATTATTTTTCGAGAAAAAAGAAAACAAGATATGATCTTATTTTGATTCACAGGACATTTTCTATAGTTCTTATTGATTTTTGAAGTACAAAATATAAATAGATTCTTACTAGTTCCAGGACCAAGTTCTCCAGCTTCAAAACGATTACCAATTATTTCAATAATTGATAAAAGAATTTCAGGTGAACTTGAACCAAGTGCCATTAATGTTAAATTTGCAACTGTATCATTCCATATTCGAACTTCAACAGTTAAATATTTATCATTTTCTCCTGGGTCAGGATAACGTATTTTTCGTCTTCTTGATGTTATAGTTTCAATTGAAGACATAAATATATCGGCAATAATAGCAATACCAAGAAAAAGATAAAGTAAAAAAATAAAGTATAATACTGCTCGTAATTGTATTGACATGCATGCTTCAATACCTGATAATTATTTAGAAAAAATAGTAATGATATATACATTTAAATTAAATCAAGAAAATGTTTACCAAATGGTAATATAAGACCACGAGCCGAGCATTTAAATTTTTGACAACTAACAGTAGTAAGATTACTAAATTCGTCCGACATTTTGTTTGAATGTGTATTTATGGGTGTAAATTCACTTGTGTGCAATATTCACATGCCAGTTATGCAGAGAGGACATACTAAAACCACACCAAGGTCGTTAGGCTGCTCTTTTTCTCTCTCTTTCTCGTTCTCTTTCTCTTCTTCTATTCTGTCAAAATTTGTATTCACTCTAGAGGAAAAAAAAATACGAATCATAATATCAGCGTATTCTTTTCTTTTCTGCTTTCTCTCATTCTTTTTTTTTTCTCTAAATCGGAGGTGATTACTATAAAAAAACAATGTTATGTTGGAAACCAGGCTTCTTCTATCTAGAATAGCTTTCGTGTTCAGGCATGATTAGCCATGAACAATCTTCTTTCCTTTTTCTTTTCAGAGTTTTTTTAGTATCATGTTTCTTATTCTACTCCTATTTGCTCTACAGTAATAAAAGTAGAAACAATTTGAATATAGTGAAATCACGCAGAACGCATAATGATTCAAAGAGACAAGCTACTAGTCAGCGATGTGAGAGAGGCTATGGAGCTTGGTCGACATTGGATGCTACATTTCACACTTTTACCCTCTTATCATGGTCGATAATGACAACCAAGGCTCCTCGCTTTTTTTTTCTTTTTTTTTTTTTGCACCTGTGCCTTTGCGTAAATATATATGAGTAAGCCTTTTCCGTTTTACTCATCTCTCTCTTTCGTTATTTCAAAAGGTCTATCGGGAAGTGAGATTCATCGGCAAACGGAAGGATCATTATATAAGATTTTATCGTATTAATTGCAGTGATTGAAGACGAACAATACTCGTAATAGTTTGCATATTTAAAAATATCTTATTCTGAATAAAGAAAACAAATCCAATTTTTAAAAACTTATTATTAATTTTCAACGCCTTTACCAGTAAATAACAACCGATGAATTATAAAAAATATATGTACATAATTGACTATTTTATTTTTAAATCATTACATCAATGGACTTTTAAAATTTACTAACTTTAATTATTTGAGGAAAAATTTTTATATTCTTTAGAATCTGTTCTATGTTTTGCTTCTCATACTCATAATTATTCAAAAACGAAGACAACTATGAACTATGGATGCACATAAATATAGCAACTATTGTTCTTTCATATTCTATTATAAATATCTAAATTAATATAGGTAATTAGAATTTGATTGATTACAGTTCTACTACTAAGAATACTTCGGGTATTAAACAAAACAGGATGTAGAGGAAATTTTCTTATCATATTGAAAATTAATTACAAACTTGTGAATAGAAATGAAAACGAAAGATTTATTGAATAAGTTGACATGCTACAATGTACTAGCGATCACAATAGTGGTAGTCATCTTCTGAACAATAGTACTGTTAGAGACTACGTGTGCGCGAGAAGTGAATAATTAAGCATGAATTATAGATGAAACGAGCATACATGCCAACATAATCTTTTCTCTCTTTTTTTTTTCTTCTCTTTCTCGACAGCACACACACTCTAACAATAACGAACAGCGCATGTGGTACGAGTTTCTCCTATTCACCATCGCTCTACTCTCGCTTATTTACTTTCTATACGCATGGAGGGATGTAGTAACGCAAACGCATGATGAAGTGAAGTAGAGAAGAAAAAGAAGAAAAAAAAAGTGTATTCTTCTAGCTGTCATTAGACAGTAACAGCAAGAGAAACGGGAGCAGTAGCAATAACAACACGAGTAATTTGCTATCGGTGTGTGCAAAAACTTTTTTAAAAACGCTTATTATACTCCACGCATTCAGGAAAGAAAAGGCAAAAAAAAGCAACTATAGAAAAACTGATTTTTTTTTTGTATGTATAGCTGTACTATTATATCAAGTATTCAATGCACATCAGTGCGTCTGTCCTTAGTGATTATTATAAACATTGGAATATAAATAATAGTCATCAAATTTTTTTGTCTTCGCTTATAATTAAATATCGATGTGGGTTATCTAAAACACTATTACATTCTAATTACAGAACAATTGACACAATAAAATATGTAAAAGAAAAGCATGCAAAATATATATTTACAAATCGATTAATCACGAGATGATACTTGTATTTGTTGATGAGAAAAGAGTAAAAAAATCTAACAAGAAGAATGATTTTTTTCCATTTATTTTTCTTTATTCAAATGTTAATATATAACTCCATTCTTTAGACTCAATATGATCATATAATGGTAATACTGATATGTAATGTGTTGCATTGACGTCCAAAGCATTTTTCTTTTTTTTTTTATTCACTATTCGTTAGCGTAGAGGAAACAATCGAGAGATATATGAGAGAAGGCGCACTTCGACTGAGCGAGAAAAGCATCATAGTAGCGGTGGTGCAAAATGAGTGCTCACACAAAAAAAAAGAGAATAAATGAATAAAGTTTCTAGTTTCTTCTTCTTCTTCCTTCTCTCTCTCTCTCTCTTACTCTGACATTGCAAGATGTCGGTTGGTGGTTGTCTTTCATGCAGTATTCCTTGAAATAAAGACATGATTAAAGACAAAAAAAAAAGGATTGCATTTCTAACTCAGTGCATATATCAAAATTAAGGCTGAATATGTACTTCTTACGTATAATCTAAGAAACTATCCAATAACTCGAAATGAAAAACTGCATGCTCTAATACGTTTTTTAACATTGTTTTTATTGAGTGTGAAAATGATCTGTATTGGTTGATTTAACTTTTTAATATAAAAACAAAGGGTAACATAGCTTATTTTATTGTACTATGTTTTAGAATAAATGTCAATGTCGATATTTCGATAATTGAATATCAATAAGATATTTAATGATATTTGTGAGTAATCAAAAGCAAAGTGTATTTATAATAAAATTTTTATTGATTTTGCTGTTTTTCTCTCATTTGCTTTGTGTAGCAACACTAAATACCGGTCGAACATTTCGATCGATCGATCAATGGCAGCAGTGTAGATGGTAAAGATCCATTGCTAATTGCTTTCATTCATCTAATATAGACTGAGTGATCACAAAAAAAAGGAATCATATCACATGAATATAATGGTGAAGTGGGAGATTTTGTATGACTTATATTAGTTCTCATTCGATACGAAAGGGAGATATAATAAGAAGCATATATATAATAAAATTCAATAGTTAAAACCAATGCATGCATACAACTTCATCTATTATTGGTACTTAACAAGTCGAGTGATTCTTCATCCAAACTGCATTTCCTGAAGCAGACAATTTCCGCTTATGTGATCGAACGAATGAACGAATGTGTATTCTATTTCCCTGAGGTTACTAATCCTTGTCACAAACAAATATAATTACGACTTAATTGATTTATTTTTTCTTAGGATTATCAAAACAATAACTTGATTATTTAATTTAAATCATTACGGAAAAAAAACACAATTCTATATTGATAATCAAAATAAGTTTGATCGTAAAAAAAACCGGAATATTTGAAAACATGTTGACATTTGTTTTCAATCTGTCAAAATCACTATAATCATAAATAACTGACTATGCCATTTTTAAACATGATTATACTGATGAAAGCATTGTCAATAAAAGAATTTATTTATTGGCAAAATAAAAAGTCTTATTTAATGATAATTTCAAACGAAAAATATTTCAATCTAGGATGACATTACAAATATGTTAGAATATCAAAATTGAGGATCATAATATGGAGATAAACAATCTCCGTTAATTAAATTAAAAGATATCAATGTAAAATCAAATTTTTTTTGAAAATATTTTGATAACTAATAATACATTCATGAATGTTCAACAATGAATTTTATTGATAGGCTATCGTTTAGTTACATATGTAAATTTTGTGATTATTCCTTCGGTAACCGATTTTACATAATACAATATACCCTATAGGTAATATGGTGGACTTTATCAACAATAGTAAATATTTGCTAATGACATTTACTTTTCAAACAGTCTCATGCCGCTATGGTTATTTCATTCTATCGATAATACAGATTAACGCGTATCTTTGATTATAAGGTACGTAGGTAATGGTATAGCAGTCCAATTCATCTCACAGTTATTATCAATCATGAGAGACATACTTTTTGTCCTTTTGATTTTTGTTACTATTTCAAAAATGATCGATGGATTTCTATTTGCTAAACAAGGACTTTTTCTTGTACCATCAGTAGCATTTCGAGACCATTCATCAACATCGAATTCATTGTCATCTGATTGGATTTTGTATAATCAAGGATGGTACTACGAAGAAAATCCTGTTCAAACATTATTAATGGAAAAAACATTAGAACTTATTGTTCAAAAAGATTTAGATCGGAATCGTATTAAAATGTTTACTGCTGAAGGTAAAAAAAGACAAGATGTATGTATTGATGGACTTAATCGAGAAATGTGTGCTCGAACTGATGATGTTGGTCGTATTAAAAACACTTTTATAATGACTAATCAAGAAATTGAATTATTTCGTCAACCAGGCGGTAATGGTGGTAAAGTACTTTTTCAAGTATCCGTACCAAATAGAAATCTTTATGCTACTGGTGAAATTTATTTATGTGATGATCATGGAATAACATTTATTAGTGATATTGATGATACAATTAAAATAACACAAGTAACATCATCTATACAAACATTAATTAATACATTTAGTGGAGAATTTAAACCTGTTTCGGGTATGGCAGATATATATCGATATTGGGAAAGAAAATATAATGCAACATTTGCTTATTTAACAGCATCACCAGATCAACTTTATCCATTTTTAAAAGAATTTTTTGATCGTGAACATTTTCCATCAGGTTCTGCGCATATGCGTCATTTTACATGGCTAGATGTAAATTTTATAACTTTTTTTATGTCATCAAATTATATAAAGAAAAAAACTGAAACCTTACTTATGTTTTTACAAAATACAAAACATCGTTTATTTATTTTAATTGGTGATATATTTCAAAAAGATCCAGATATTTATGCAAGTATTTATGCTCAATATCCTAATCGAATTGCACGAATTTTTATTCGA